TTATTCCCAGCCCTTGGGTGGCAGAGGCAGGTGGATCTCTGTGAGTTTGAAGTCAGTGTGGTCTACAAGAGAGAGTTCCAAGAGAGCTAGAGCTACACACAGAGAAACCGTCTTGAAAGAAAAAAAACTGTTAATTCTCCCATTAACAAACCTATCATAACAATTATTATAGTCACCTTCCTTCTCTCTCTCTCTCTCTCTCTCTCTCTCTCTCTCTCTCTCTATCTCTCTTTGTGAGACAGGATCTTGCTACATAGCTCTGGCTGTCCAGGAACTCACTACGTAGAATAGGCTAGCCTTGAACTTGAACAGATCTATCTGCCTCTGACTTTGAGAGCTGGTATCGTTCTCTCATAAGAGACCTTATGATACCACAAATCCTTATTAGTCAACAAATGTCACTGTGTTACTAGTCCATGGCATTTAATCGTGCTCATAAACGCAGTGACAATTGAAGTGCTATTATATTCATGACGCTTTCAGAAGTGTTTCCTTTACAGTGGCCCTTTTGGCAATGTAGGCCAGACCATTGTTAGGGGCTGATGTAGGATGTTGAGCAGTACCCCTGGTGTCTTAGTCAATGTCCTATCGCTGTGAAGAGACTAGGAACACAGCAGCTCTAAAAAAAGAAGGCATTTAACTGGGGCAGGTTTATAGTTTCAGAGGTCTAGTCCACTCTCGTCGCAGCGTGGCGGCATGAAGGCCGACGTGATGCTGAAGAAGCAGCTGAGAGTTCTACGTCTGGATCCACAGGCAGCAGGAAGACAGAGACGCCAGGAACTGCCTGTGTTTTTTTAAGCCTGAAAGCCCACCCTCAGAGACATACCTCCTTCAAAGCCACACCTCCTAAACCTAAACGTTTCCATGGTGCCATTCCCTGGTGACCAGACATTCAAATCTGTGAGCTGCGGAGGTCATTCTCATCCAGATCACCACACCTGGCTTCTAGGAGGGCTGTACTAGCGATTTTTTGGCTGCCGTGGTGATAAAATGCCTTCACCTAGGCAGTTCGTGAAACAGTTTATTCTGGTTTACATTTCCAGAGACCTAAGAGTTCATCATGGCCACCGCCTAAATATAAATTGTTACCTGGGAGTGGTGGCGTGGTCCTCAATCCCAGCACTCCAGAGGCAGAGGCAGATGGAACTCTGTGTTGGAGGCCAATTCCGTTTTCAGTGATCTCATAGTTAACAGTTACAGAGAACCTTACACTCTCTCCTAAGAGCTGTTAACTGTCCCCCCAACTACTCTCCCGCCTCTGTAGTCATTATTTAAGGCTCTCTTCCTAACCCATAGTCTGGGGCGGGGGTTATGCTAGTATGAATCGCTAAAGTCCCAGCCTATAGGACAAAGGGACAGGGATTTCTCTTTCCACCAGGGACTTTGAAACCCCCATTTTGCTGGGTGTGGTGGCACATGCCTTGAATTCCATAACTAGGGAGGCAGAGGCTAGTACCAGGAAAACCTGGGCTACAAAGAGAGACCCAGGACAAAAAAAAAATCCTCAACAAATAAAAACAAAACAACAAACCTAAAACCACACACACACACAAAAAGAAAAACGCAACCATTCCCCTATAAACAAACAAACAAACAAACAAACAAACAAACCCCACTGTCTTGCACTAAACCATCATGCCAGCCAGGTCTGCTTTTCCTTTGACTTCGAAAACATAAACAGGGAACTAAATAAGGCTTATTCCTGTAACTAATTATATCAGCACTTAAAATTTTGCTTGTTTTTTTCTTTTCAAAGTCTTTATTGAACCAATCACAAAGCACTTGACGTCTTTGTTTTTTCAAGACAGGGTCTCTCTTTGTTGCCTTTACTCTCTCAGTGTGCCCCATCGCTGCTGGCAGAACCTGGCTAAATCAGAAAGTTTTAGTAAAAGCTTCTGCTTGCTTCCAGGGAAGACCTCTTGTTCCCCCCCCCCCCCCAACAAACAGTAGATAAGATCATAAATGACGGCCCCTCCACAGGTTACTCGGCTCTAAAAGAATAACTAAATCATTAGAGAAACCTGAGGACAATGCTATGCCTGCCCAGAGGCATCTGTGATTCTCAGGTTATCCCATTCTATGGGAGCCCATGCTCTAGAGCAGACTACATTGCCAGGAGGCCAGCTTCTGTCTGCTCTTCCTCCTTTATGACCACCAAGACCATTGTTTTTTGAGACAGGGTTTCTCTGTGGCTTTGGTGCCTGTCCTAGAACTAGCTCTTGTAGACCAGGCTGGCCTGGAATTCACAGAGATCCGCCTGCCTCTGCCTCCTGGGTGCTGGGATTAAAGGCGTGCGCCACTATGCCTGGCTGAAATAGTTAATTCTTAATGGGTAGATAGGTAGGGAGAGAGGCCCTGGATGGGACCCAACAGCTTGAGCTCTGAGCGCCTCTACTTAGAGGGTTTACTCCCATTCTCTTGTCCCAAAGAAGCTCCCTCCTTACCCAGGCTCTTTTCTCTTTCTTTCTTTCTTTCTTTCTTTTTTTTGGGGGGGGGGATTTTTGAGACAGGGTTTCTCCGTAGCTTTTGGTTCCTGTCCTGGAACTAGCTCTTGTAGACCAGGCTGGCCTCGAACTCACAGAGATCCGCCTGCCTCTGCCTCTTGAGTGCTGGGATTAAAGGCGTGCGCCACCACCGCCTGGTCTTCCAGGCTCTTTTCTTTCTTTTTTTTTAAAAATATTTATTTATTTATTATGTATATAATAGTCTGTCTGTGTGTATGCCCAAAGGCCAGAAGAGGGCACCAGACCCCATTACAGATGGTTGTGAGCCACCATGTGGTTGCTGGGAATTGAACTCAGGACCTTTGGAAGAGCAGGCAATGCTCTTAACCTCTGAGCCATCTCTCCAGCCCCAGGCTCTATTCTTTACTGGGCCATCACTGGGCTACCTTTCTCTGGAATTCCGGGGAATGGGGGGGGCACGGATAACCCAAGAGGGGGCTTGGCTGAGTACCCCTCTGCCAGAAGGCTGACCCTTGTGGACCTGTAACAGCAAGGCTGGTTGGGCTCTGAGGACTTGGTCTCCATGGGGACTTTCAAAGGTTTCCGCAACCTGTGTTTTAGGCAAGCCATTGCTGCCATTAAAAATGACCCTACCAGCTAAATTCATCGTACTCAGTCTAATTCAAGAAGGAGAAACAGCCAGACTGGCGTATCTCACGCCTTTCATCCCAGCACTCGGGAGGCAGAGGCAGGCAGACGCTGAGTTTGAGGCCAGCCTGGTGTACAGAGAGAGAAAGTTCCAGGACAATCAGGACCACACAGCCAGACCCTGTCTTGGAAACAAACATAAACAAACAGCCACCCTTTACAAACACACTATTAAAAAGCACATAAACTCAGACTCCTCAGGCGACCGATGGTGCGCCCCTCTATCCACCCTTCCTTGTGTTCCGTAGGGAACTCCGGTTTGCGGGCTACTGTGCTTATAGACTGTCTTCGTTGCAAATGTCTCCATCATGCAGTTCTTTCACTTTTTAAAATTTTATGTGAGCCGGGCGGTGGTGGCGCACGCCTTTAATCCCAGCACTCGGGAGGCAGAGGCAGGTGGATCTCTGTGAGTTTGAGACCAGCCTGGTCTACAAGAGCTAGTTCCAGGACAGGCTCCAAAACCACAGAGAAACCCTGACTCGAAAAACCAAAAAAAATAAAATAAAAAAATAAAATAAAAATAAAATTTTATGTGTATGAGTGTCTTTCCAGCGTGTATATATGTGTGTCATGTGTGTACCCATTGCCCATGGAAACCAGAGAGGGCATTGGCTCCCTATCGACTGGAAACTGAACCTGGGTCCTCTCGCAAATGCAGTCAGTGCTCTTAACTGCTTTAAAAAACATAATTGTTGGGCTGGGGAGATGGCTCAGTGGTTAAGAGCACTGACTGCTCTTCCAAAGGTCCTGAGTTCAATTCCAGCAACCACATGGTGGCTCACAACCCTCTGTAATGAGATCTGGTGTCCTCTCTGGCCTGCAGGCATACATGCAGAATACTAAGAATACTGAATACATAATAAATAAATAAATCTTTAAAAAAAAATAATTGTTTTGACTGCATTTTTGTACGCTCACCACATTCTTGCAGTGCCCACAGGAGCCAGATAAGGGCATCAGATACCCGGGAACTGGGGTTAAGCGGCCGTGTGGGTGCTGGGAATTTGGGATTCTCTGGAAGAGCAAACAGTCTTTAACCTTTGGGTCATCTCTCTAACCTCCCCTAGGTTTCTCATGGTGTCCCTTCTGTTTTCCACTGTCTGCAATATGCAAGTTTTTTTTTTTTCTTTCTTCCCCCCTCCAGTCGGGGTCTCTCAGTGTAACCTTGGCAGTCCTGGAACTCGCTGACGTCAAATCTAGAGTTCCGCCCGTCTCTGTCTACGGAGTGCTGGGATTTAAAGGTGTGCACCAGCCACTACACCTGGCTAATTTACTGTGCTTGTGTTCATGCCCGGGCCGAGATTTACAGCAATCTGATCTGACCTCTCCGGACATTCAACTTTCCAGAATCAAGTGGAAACCGGCTTTTGTAGCTTTATTTATTTATTTATTTATTTATTTATATTTATTTATTTTTTTAAGGGAGGTTTCTGGGAGCCCAGGCTGTCTTGAAGCTGGTTTCACAGCAGAGGCTCACCTTGAACTCTGGATCTTCCTGTCCCCCCCCCCGCCCCCCCAGCATTTGTGAACTGCCTGAGTAGAATCCAGTTTCTTCTTCTCCTCTTCTCTTCTCTTCTCTTCTCTTCTCTTCTCTTCTCTTCTCTCTCTCTCTGTCTCTCTGTCTGTCTGTCTGTCTTTCTTTCTTTTTTGGGGTTTTTCCAGACAGGCTTTCTCTCTGTAGCCCTGGCTTTCTCGGAACTCGTGCTTACAGACCAGTCTGGCCTTGAACTCACTGAGGTCCTTAGGCGTCTGTCCCCCGGCTGGAGTAGCCCTGCGGGGGCGGAGCAGTTCAGGGGGTTCGCTGGCCGTTTAAGGAAGCCGCCGGGCCCCGCCCACTCCCGCCGGGCCCCGCCTACTCCCGTCATGCACCTCGCGGTTCTATCTAGGTGGCAGTCGGCTTACGTGCCAGAGTGCGGCGCGCGTTCCGGAGCGCGCACGTCGAGCGCGCAGCTCCTCCGTCGGCGGGCGGGCCGCGGCGGCGAGCGGAAGTGCCTGGGAGCGCCAGTTCCGTCTGTGTGTGTTCGAGTGGACAAGATGGCGAAGATCGCCAAGACTCACGAAGGTAAGCGGCGCCTGCCTGCCCACGCGCGGCCTCGGCTCGCCAACCCCTCCGCGCCCGGCGCCAGCGGCCTCTCGGCGGCTTCGCCTTGGCCTCTCCGGTCCGGGCCGAATCCCGCGCGGCGGGGCCCTGCTTGGCTCCTCGGCGCAGGCCGCTGCCCGCGTAATGGCGTCCTCTGGCTCCCCGGGACCGGCGCTTTGTTCCGCCCTGGCTCCCGCCCCGACCCGATGGCCTCCCTCGCGGGCTCGCCCTGGAGGACTGCGGGGGAGGCGGGCGGTGGGAGGCCGTCTCTCGCCCCCCGGGCTCTGTCGTTAGCCGTCGGCAGCCGGGAAGCCGAGATCGGCGGCCGCTGTCGGGCCGCTCTTAACGGAGCCGGCTCCCACGCAGGCCTGTTAGTCCGGAGCTCGGCGATCCGGGCGTCTCCAGGCGCCTGGGTTAGGTTGTGTGGTTCTTGTCCGAAACGATTCGGGCGTAAAACCCGGTAGCTTCCCCCTGGAGTCACTTTGAGGGTAGCGTTTTTGCTTCGAGGACTGATTGGCGGGGAAGCAGACGGAAGAAAGAGGGCAGGTTTTATCAGTTGGCCAAAGCTTGCAGAGTAGTTGATCATTTTATGTATGGCACGCAGTGGAAACACGACTGGGAGAGTCATGGAACTAGTCCGGATTCCATAAGAAAGTCAGCGGGGAAGACAGGAAGGAATTGAAGTGTGCGAAGCCGAAACCGTATTTCTTGGTTCCGGCTTACCAACCAAAATTTGCGCCTTCTACATGGCTTCTCGGAGCTGCTAAACACAGGCTTTCTAAGTGTGTGGTCCGGTGTTGGTAACCAACTAAGGAGGTCGGAAACTTGACAGCAGGATGGGGAGTCAGATGTGGGACTCTTAATTCTCTTAGAGAACCAAAGGCGGACGTACAGAGAAGTAAAGTAAAGCCAGTACTTTCTGAGAAGCTTGGTAACGGAGCCATTAATTTGTGCGTTAGTTACTTTGGCGAGGCGGTGTCACGGCGCTGATCTAGAAAGGATCCATCAGTTTTAAATTAGGGGAGGACGTCTGAGCCTGAGGGAACATCTTATCTCAGGCAGGGAGTGAGCGGTGCAGGCTGTGAATGAATCGCTGCCGTGGTAGGAAGAGGCGATGTGAGGAGGAATTCGGGTGTGAATCCAGAGTGAGGAGGACCAAAAGGTGATGAGTTGGGTCATTGGAGGAACTGAAAGTACCAACACTTTAAAACCAGATATGTTCCGGCCTTACTCTTCTGTCTTTAAACCTGAAAGTACAAAAACGCCTTTTTGTTTTTGTTTTCGTTTTCTTTTTTGAGATGGTCTCACCGTGCATCATCCTTGGTTGCCCTGAAACTTACCACGTAGACAAGTCTGGCCTCCAAAGAGAGCTATCAACCTGCCTCTGCTTCCCAAGTCCTGGGTTAAAAGCCCTTGCTACCATGCCGGCCGAGTCTGACACTTTAAAGCCAGAAATGTTTTTGGTCTTACTCTTTTTTTTTTCTCAGACATTGTTTGCAAAATAGTTAGAAAACTTAAAAATGTTTCTGTTTTTGTTCTGTCAGAGGCAGTTATTTTGTTTTTTCATTCTGGGAACCAATGCGTTTATTGGGCTTACAGAGCATAGGGTAAGGGGAGGGGTTTACTGACAAAGGAGCATGGTTGACCCCAAAGCTGCCAGCCTCTCTGGAAAGTTTCCACAGTCCACGGTGGCTTCCCCTTGGCTGCACAGATGGAGTCCCACCCCTAATATGTCATTTGTGTGTAGCTTTGGTGGCTGACTGCTGTTTTCTGTGTAGCACACTCTTTTTTGTTTGGCTTTTTCTTTGTAGATCAGCTAAACTTGTTGGTTGATTGTAGTTCATTAGTAAAGATAGCGATTTCATTTGGGATTATTTTATCGCTAAATCAAGTGGATGCTATAAAAATGTACAAGTGCCGTGTGTCACTGTTGGGTGCTTATCAGAAGGTGATTGAGGGTTTCTTTCTCTCTGCCTCCGAGGCTGGGATTAAAGGTGAGCTCCACCACTGCCCGGCTGACGCAGGGTTTATCTATGTAGCCTTGACTAACCTTGTTCTGTAGACCAGCCTGGCCTCGAACTCAGAGATCCTCCTGCCTCTGCCTCCAGAGTTCTGGGATCAAAGTTGTGTACTACCACAGCCTGGCTGTGTTGGAACTCTATAGATCAGGCTAGCCTTGAACTTTGTTTTGTGTGTATTATGTATACAATAGTCTATCTGTGTGTATGCCGAAGGCCAGAAGAGGGCACCAGACCTTATTACAGATAGGAATTGAACTAACTGGGAATTGAACTCAGGACCTTTGGAAGAGCAGGCAATGCTCTTAACCACTGAGCCATCTCTCCAGCCCCTAGAATCACTGCTTTCTCTGTGGTTCTGGACATCCAAGAACTCAATGGTAGACTAGGGTGGTTTCCAGGAGATTGACTCTGCCTGGCTAGAATAGTTTTTTTGAAAGTTTTTTACATTTATATTTGCTTTGCAGAGTTCAGAGGCTAACTGAAAGTCTGTCCCTCTTTCCGTGATGTAGGTTCCGGCAGTTGAACTATTGTCAGATGGGGCAGGAGCACATTCACCCTTAATCAGATAATGTCTGAAGCGTCTCTTCTTTAATACACAGGAATTATTTATCCCGTGAGAGCTCTAGGATCTGGTGCATAATAGGTAGTCAAGTGTTAGATCAACATTTATTTGATATGTTGGATTTATTTTATTACTTTTGGGGAAAAAAGTCTCTTGTAGTCGAGGCTGGCCTTGACTCCCGATTTTCTGTCTTTTAAGTGCTGAGATTGTAGGCTTGTGAATCCACACATAAACAGGATCATGTTTATTTTTTATTTTAATGTTCTATTATTTATTCATTGTGTGTTTATGTATTCTTGCCTCTGTAACCATGTGAAGTCAGAGGACTGCGTCTTGGGATCCAACAGGTCATCAGGCTTGCTGCATCAGGACTTCTCCTTTGTTTTGAAAGGAAATTATTGTGTACCCCTAAGCTGGCTGGCTAGGGTTTTGCTTTGAGTCTTTGGTTTTTTTGTTTGTTTTTGTTTTTTGTTTTTTTGAAACAGGATTTCTTTGTGTAACCCTGGCTGTCCTGGAACTCTGGCCTCCATCTCAGGGATCCGCCTTCCTCTGTGTTCCGAGCGCTAGCATTAATAAAGACATGGCTTGGCCTCACTTTGTGTCTTAAACTGGCCTCAAATTTGGAGGAATTCTTTGGCTCCTGAATGATGGGATTTTGTACCACTATGTCTTTGAGATATCTCTCCCCCTCTTCTCTCTCTAAACTAGGGATTAATCCTCAGGATTCTGTAACTTCTGAAACACAAGTGTTTGCCATTGACTTATACCCCTCACTCTGAAAAGGAGCATCTTAAAACTCAGTTTTAGGTAGGAAATGGCTTATTGCTTTGAGAACCTTCTTCATTGAGAGGAAAAGTTGGTTTACTGTCAGATTTGATAGGCTTGCAGCGCTGCAAGATTGGATTTTGGTTTCCTAGTGAGTATAAAGTGCCACCTTCCTTCCCCCATGTAACAGGTTACTGTGTGTGTGTGTTTGCATGTGTGTATGTGCATCCATGCAAGTATGTATATGTGTTACACGTGTGTGCTTAGGCACCTCCACTTGTGCACACAAGTGTATGCTCGCTCATGGAGGTCAAAGGAGGCAGAGTGTGAGCCTGGAGCTGTGCTGCAAGCCCTAGCATCCCCTTCCTTCTCTGCTCTGGAGTTACAGAGGGGCATGACTATGCTGGCCTCCAACTCACAGAGATCCGCCTGCCTCTGCCTCCCGAGTGCTGGGATTAAAGGCGTGCGCCACCACCGCCCGGCCTATACCAGTCTTTTTAACATGGCTTTTGGGGATTTGAATTTAGGTCCTCTGCAAGCATTCTTATTGGCTGAGCCATCTTTCCATCTCACAGATGATTTTTGTGTTTTAGCAAAGTCTTTGGATAATTTCGTTGTATAGGCAGTCATTCTTAGGTTATTGGAGTAATTGAGAATGGGACTTGGATTTGAATTTACTGGAGTAATTTATTTCTCATTAATAATGGTTTCTGTATGCTCCAGCATTTGTTGTGTCTTGTTTATTTTGTTTTTGGTTTTTCGAGACAAGGTTTCTCTGTGTAGTCCTGACTGTCCTGGAACTTGCTTAGTAGACCAAGCTGGTCTTGAATCTTCCTGAGATCTGCTTGTCTCTGCTTCCCAGTGCTGGGATTAAAGGCATGCCACACCATTTATTTTATTTTATTTTATTTATTTTATTTTTTTGAGACAAAACCCTGTCTAACAGTTATCCTTTGTACCTTTGGAGCCTGTCCTGGAAGTAGCTCTTGCAGATCAGGCTGGGCTTGATAAGAGTGAGCTGCCTACCTCCACCATCCCGAGTACTGAGTACTGCGGTTAAAGGCCCAGTGGTTTTGTTTATTTTTAAAGTAATGACTACCACTTGACTCTTGGGAGGTAAATCACTGTTTTTGTATAGAAATAGGTTATGGTTATGTTTTCTTTCTATGGGAGTTTTCCCCTTATTTTTTTGTTTTGTTTTGGCCTTTTTTTCTGTTCCGTTTGAAGGGTCTCTCTCATTGCCCAGGTTGGCTTCAGACAAACTTGCCTTGGAGCTGAGTTTGTCCTTGGATTTCTGATCCTCCTCCGTCTCAGAAGAGCCTGCCATCTCAGATACTCCCATCAGGCCTCACTTGCATGGTTCTGTTCTCAGGCTATTGATTCCTGTTATTGAACCAAACTGAAGATTTTTCTTGTTTTTTTTTTCTTCCCCCAAACATTTCTGTCTCTTTGAGATGTGAGGAATGTTGCCCAAGGTGACCTTGAATTTTCTTTTTCTTTCTGTGTCTTTTTGTCACATGGGTTCACTTTTGTGGCCTTGGCTGACCTGGAATTCATTACGAAGACCAGGTTTGTCTTGAACTGATAGAGGTTCACCTGCCTGTCTCCTGAGTGCTGGGACTAAGGATGAACAA